ACTTCCAAGATAGCTTCTAGTTCTCAAGGACTCCCCTTTTTGGTCCTCTGACCAGACTCTGGCTTTAGTTAACTCACTCTGACACACTTTCTGTGACTACACCATGTCTGGAGCACATAGCAGCAGAGAAAAGGGGAAAGTAAGTAACAAAATTTTGTCCCACCTTTTTGGGACCTCAGTTCCTGTGTTTAGAGAGGAATTTTTCCATCTTCTGAAGTTTTAGGCACATGTGAGCTCTCACTGCTGCCACTGTCACCACTGCCAACATCCACACAGGAATTCCCAGGGGACTGAGGTATAAGAGAAATGGGTGGGGGCAGAAACAAGGGGATTTCTTTCACTCTGAGGATGTTAGGAGTCCTTTTTGTGCTCCTTGAATGAAAACTAGATGGCTTCTCTGGAGACTACTCCTGTTGGTCTCTCCGTATATGTAAGTTTCCCCCTTCAAGGATTTGGCTACATTGGGGCTAGGCTTCAGGATATCAGAGGAGACACAAAAATAAGGAATTCATCATCATTTAGTGGTACTTAAAGTTTTGGTCTTCCTCAAACCACCTGCTATGGCTTCAGTTTCCTTACCAATATTCTCCATCTATGTGTTCACTATGACCATATTTCCCTTTAAATACTTGACCATAGTTATGGTCAATACATAAGAGCTACTTTAAAATTTATTTCCTGACAGTTCCTATATCTGGGTCACCTCAGAATCAGTTTCCTTTTACTGCTTTCTCTCAAGTATGGGTCACATTTTTCAGGTTTTTCACTTGCCTATTAATTTTTTATTGTATGCTTGAGATTGTAAATGATACAAGGTTGTCTTACTTTAATGGATGTTGGTTTTATCCTTGTAAATTCTCCTTGGCCTGTCTGTTTTTATTCTTTGTTGGAGCTTGTGATATGGGGAAACAACATTTTGATTTTTTTTTTCCTATGACATTGTGTTTACACAAAGTCATGACCCTTACTTTAGAGGGATGGTCTTTCTAGAATCTCAGATGAATGTCTGAAGTACATAATGAGGTCTTTCCACCCTGCTAAGCTAGAACTCCAACACTTTATGACATGCAGCAGGCAATCTCTGCTGGGCCTTGCAGAGTTGCGTCATATCTAGATTTAGTCCAGCTCTTGGTCAAGGACCCATCGTGAATGTCTGTGTAGACTTGTGGGGCTTCCCTTTTCACAGCTACCTACTTTAGGATGTGGTACCCTGCTAACTTCAGCTGCTTCAACAGTGCAAAACTCTAATCTCTTCCTCCATAACTGAGTCTGTTGTTCTGCTTGGATTCCATTTTCTTGCACTCCAGAAAAAGTGCCCTTCACCAGAAAAACCAGAACAATTATGAGAAAGTTCTGGAACACACTTCATGTGTTTCCCTTTTCTCAAGGATTACAGCTGTGCTTTCTGCAATTCCTGAAAAATTTTACCTCATCTAGTTTTATCCAATCTTAGAGGTTATTTTAAAAGAATAAATCAGGTACCTGTTACTCAGTAGTCATGGCTGGAAGTAAGTTTTTGGTGCACATTAATTTAAATGTACATTGAGATTTAAATCACTGATATCAGAACTTTCCTAAAAGCAATTTCTGACAGAGAATAGGTAAATGTGCTTAATAAAAATGTCAGGAATTACTAAAAGGAAAAGGGAGCAATGTTTTAAGGGCATTGCTGACAAACTTCAAATTTCAAACTTAACCTATATTTTTATATATATGATACTCTTAGAAGAAAGTTAAAAAGATACATTTTTTTCTCATCCTTGATCTGTCCTGTTAATACACAAAGGCCACTGAATCTAAGTTGGAGATACTTGACCTTTGAATCATCAGTTAGTGAGTAGCTAAATTAGGAGACACTGCCTTAAGAAGAAGCTTGTTGAGACTGGGAAAGACAAATGACTATTTGGTTTTACAAATAAGTCTCCATTTTTAAAGGGTGGAGATGGTTTAGTAGTAAATTAGTTCTCTCTCTCTCTCTCTGCCCTGGGAGATTAGACAAACAATGGATCTAACTAAGAAAATAGACTGACTCATTTGGCTACAATGCTATACTGAAGTTATAAGCAAACTAACATTAAACTTCAAAAAAATAATTTGGTTCTGTATACTGTAAATGAGTCTTACAGTCCATTCTCATATTTCTCATTGAAAAAAACAAAAACAAAACAAAACAAAAATAAGACATTAAATTCATAGATCTAAAGGCACTTTAAACCCTGTCTTTTCTTACCTCATCATCGGCTATAGCAAGGCTGAAGTCATATACTATTTATTTCATTATTTATTAACTCTTCTTCAGGATGGTAGTTTTTAATGCAAGAGAAGTGAAGTTTGCAATAACCCTCTTTTCTCCTAATTTTCTTGAGCATTTCCAAAGTTCTTCTAATAGTAAACACCCTATCTTCAAAGTGAAATGTCCATCAAGAGAACAGATAAATTTGAGAGAGGAAAGTCAAACCTGTTGGGCAGGAAAAGAAGTTGTACAGAGCTAATAATGGGTCATAAGTGAATAACGGTGGAGAATTTGAGGGAAATGGAATCACAGGTCTGGAAGAGACAAGTCATCTGGTCTAGACTGCCTCTAGACAGGTCAGGAAGGGGTGTTTGGGTGGACCATTTTTCACATCTGGATTTAGTTTCTCATTAACTGAATTTTCAGCCTTTTACCTTTCACCAAGCCTGGTTTCTTCTCTACAAGTCGTGTGTCATTTCTCCTGCCCCAGGATGAAATCCTTGGGTAGATCTAATTAGTTTGGAGAAGGGTTCATTCTTTCCCCAGGAGGTCTGCTTCAGGTTTAGATCATTCCATTGGCCTCACCAACAACTGAAGGGCAAATCTCCTGGCCAATGGACACATTCCCTGGGCGTAGAGAAAGGGCCTCAAACTGATGGTCACACTCCATGTATTTCTAACTTTCCTTAGCTGTGAGGACATCATATGCTGAGGTGGGCTGAGGAGATTTTTAGGTAGTTTTACGTCTCCTTGTCTGAGAGAAACATACAACTGCCTGAGTTTTCCAACATATACATACACGACCCTACGTTATTCGCTGGGGGAAGTGGAATGCTGGGATCTTGTTCTTCTGGAGCCATCTCTCTCTCCTACATTTCCCAAGGTTCTGGATTTTACTGTGAGAGGCTGTGCAAAAAGGAGGGTGGAATTAAATTTCAGCTTATTCTTCTGCTTCACCCAGGAAAGAGGTTTGTGAGCATAAGCGAAGAGGTAAATGAGATACTCGTTGCTGTTTGGTGCCTATCACACACATCTCTCTCCACAACCCTCCACCACCAGTGTGTGCACACACTGTGAGAAGAAACGCACCCGCCCCTCCCTCGAGACCAGCACAGACCGACCAGAACTTCCCCTGGGTCGTGGCCCAGCGATATGGAGCGGCCCTGGCTCCGAGCCCTGCTCTTCCCGAGTCGTGGGTGGCGCGATGCTTGTTTCCCTCTCCTCCCTTTCCGGACACAAACGGGGATGTATCTGGGTCAGCCTGGGAAGGGCCGGACCTGCCAGGGACCGTCGGGGGGGTGGGGCGGGGGGGTGGCGATGACAGCATCATTCAGGTTTTTGGCGTTTCTGAGCTTCGCTCCTTCCAGCCCTTCACCGCTCTCTCGCCCGGCGGGGCTGCCGCTCTTCGCAGAGGACTGGGTTGGGGAAGAGCCGGTTCTTCCTATCCCGAGGGCCACCCCTCCCCGCCCTGCGAACAATGAGACGCCCACCCCCACCCCCACTACACACACATTCCGGCTTCTCCAAGGCACGCTCCTCGCGCGCGGGCGGCGGGTCCCTCTGCCCCAGGAAAAGAGCATTGGAACAGTTCACGGACGCCGCGAGTTCCTGGTCTTCCTTTCCGGTGATAAACGGCGGGGCTATGAGCCAATTGCTGCTCAAGATGCTCCACCCGCAGTCCAAGCCTCCCTCTCTTGGCTCTGCGGGGGCCCAGATCCAGGACCAAGAGGATCTCTTTACCTCTGCAAGGCTCAAAGGCTGAGCGCCAGGGCGGCGGGAGGCACGACCCCCGGCGGGTTCCTCACTGCCTGGGTTCCTCCCTTAGCGATCTTTCGCGCTCCACAACGCCCGGGAGGAGCTGGGTGTGCGTCAAAACCGCATCTTCCCAGGACTCTTTGGCCGAGGACGCCTGGGTGAGGTCCGAAGGGTCATGGACCTTCCCGGCTCCCCTCCCTGTGAGCTGTGTATATAAGCCCAGCACCAGAAATCGAGGCCACAAGTCTTCATTTCCCTGAGGCCCGACCCCTCCCTCCCCATCCTTGCCCTGCATAGATAGACTCGGCAGGTCCAAATTTACAAGTGCTCGTTCTTCCTCTCGGCGTGAGGGAAAGCAATGAGTTGAAAATCGCCTCGAGGTTCGTGCGTTCGATACATAGTTGCCTCCTTATCCCCTCTCTACCCACGTCGCACGCTCCGGGACTTCTGTCCTCCAGAGGGTAGCCTAGACTAGACTGAACGCGCGTCCCTGTGGCCGGAACCAACTGATGCTCTTTTGCTGGGAGCTTTCCAAAAGGTACCTGCCTCCGAGGGAGCTCGAGACCACACAGAGGTGTTCCTCCTTCCCCTCCTCATCTCGCCCGCAGACATCTCTTGCCATCATTTCATCCACCATTGAATAAGCCCCGCGCCCCTCCCCGCTGGCTCCCGGCGCAGCACCCCCTCCCTCGACTGCGCCCGGGCGGGTGGGGAGCAGAGCGGACCGGGGTGCGCGGGAGGCGCCCAGAGCTCTCTGGCTGCCCGCACTCGCCGCGCCTGGAGAATTGGGCTGTGGGCGAGGCGGCCCGGGCTGGCCTTTATCACTCTCCCGGCTAGTCGTTTGAAACTTTATCAGTGAGTCTCGCCACTCGCTGCAGACCCAGCCGGGGGCGGGGGCGCGGCGAGGCGCCGGCGGCGTGAGGAGGCGCTCCGGGTGCTGAGCGCCTCTGCTCCGGGCACGCATGGCGCCCGCATACGGAGTCTGACCTGATGCGGACGCAAGGGGGTTAATATGAACGCCCCTCTCGGTGGAATCTGGCTCTGGCTCCCTCTGCTCTTGACCTGGCTCAGGCCTGAGGTCAGCTCTTCATGGTGGTAAGTCCACGCGTACCGGCGCGGGGGAGGGGGGATTTTCGATATGGGAATGGGGATCGCACTGGCCACCGAAACCCTTTTCGGCGGCTCTTCCCCGTGGCCGCTGGAGTCGCAGAATTCATCCCGAACCCTGGCTGCTGTCCTTTCCTATCGCCTTATTCTGAGTCCCTTCGCTTTTCCTCTGAAGACCATTCCAACTTTGACAACCCAAAAAAACAAACAAACAAAACACCACCCCACATCCCCCCTCAAATGAGAGCTTGTTAGTTTTTTTTGGATTTAGCTGAGCGAGAGCAAAATCGGCCAATTTCTTATCCCATTAAGAGACGTGTGTGTGCGCGCGCGCGCGCGTGCGTGCGTGCGTGTGTGTGTTCACCCTTAAAACTGCAATCGTCCCGCCGCTACTCCTCCACACACCTCCAAAACTCAAGATAAACCTAGCGGCCAATTCAGGCAGTCAGGAGCTGTAGAACCCAAAGCGTGTGATTTTGCATTATTTCCCGTCCTTCCACATTCCTAAAAATTCTTCCCAGTGGGGCGGAAGAACGCTGTCCTGCCTGCCTCCAGGTAGAGACTACCTCCTGAAAGGGAAGCTCCCCGGGGTGGGGGGTGGGGGCTCAAAACTACAGTCCCCTCAAAGAGTAACTTTGCTGCCATCCTTTGTACGTTGATCAGCGATTTACTTATTTATTTTGCACAGTGAACGTAACAGGTCTTGTTACAAAGGGAGATTCTCTACCCACCCAGAAACTCTTCTCCATCTTCGGACCGAATGATCTTGAAAAGAGAGAGAGTTGAGAGCTCTTTAATATCCTTGCACCTAAAAGTTTCCCAACAGATATTAAAGTACTGATTCAGAAAGACCCTCTACCATGGGTTGTTATTGTTTTTGTTTGTTTTTTTCCCCAAGAATCTGACAAAAGTAAAGAGTCTCAAGCATATGAAAGACTAGAGCTGGGAACTTCAGAAAGACACTGGAGTTCTTCAAAAGAGTATGGCGGAGCACTGAGGGGAAGAGGGGTTCAATCCTTCTTAAGCTGCTTTAAACAAGAAGGCGTTTAGCCTTGACATTGCTGACACAGGATCAAAGATTGATTTATCAGAATGACCATTTTTCAATAAAATGACTATTTTTGTTTCCAAGGTTAAACATTATTTATTGCTCAGACTTTTTGTCACATTGTCTCTCAGCTGTCACCTAAAAATGTTTTTTGGAAATCACAGCTGTAACGATTTTATGATCGTATAAAATAATGAAAATACAAGAAAAGACATTCTCCCTGTTTGATCGCTTCAAAAGACACCTATGGCAGCTTGGATTATATAAAAGATACCTTTCTAAACATTTCACAACTAATAGAGAACATCTGGGCAGAGATGATGATGTAATTTTTTTTGTTAAAGTTTCTTTTTTAAAGTACGTTATGGAGCTATAATACTGTTTGATTCTTCCAAATATTTAGTGTCCTTAATAACAATAGAAAGAAGTTTTTCCAAAGGTTCTCTATAAAGGCCAAGAAGAGCTGGTAAATGGAAATATTTAAAGGATTCTTTAGTAAGGAAACAACAGCATGTTTGTGAGGAGAGTGTAACATCAGATACCAGCAGGTGTTGATTAGACAGATACAGTTTCTTAACACACTTAAACATTCGGGTCAAATAAAATGGGAGCGAGGAGCTGTAAAGGTTGGCTTCCCCCAAAGTCAAGTCCAGACACATTTCATCATTGAGATCAGAGCCTTTTTGGGAATAGTCTTTGAAGGCTCTTCCCAAAAAATGTTGCCCCTCCCTGCTCATTCTGTTCCCTGACTGCCTAGAGCATCATCTGCGGGCCCTCCATTCATGTCCAAGACAGCCATCACTCCGTTTTGGGGTGGCTTATACCAGATTACTCCCCATGCCTGCCTGCTGCTTCTCTACGGAACTAAAATTAAATAAACTTTGCTTTCTAATATCTTCCCAAATGATAATTCATATTTGAAACATGGCTCCGGGCCTCAATTTCAGTGTTCTCACTTCTGTGTTGTTGCTTCCCAGGTACATGAGAGCTACAGGTGGCTCTGCCCGGGTAATGTGTGACAATGTGCCAGGTCTGGTGAGCCGCCAGCGGCAGCTGTGCCACCGACACCCAGAAGTGATGCGTGCCATTGGCATGGGCGTGGCAGAGTGGACAACTGAGTGCCAGTACCAATTCCGCCAGCACCGCTGGAACTGCAACACCCTAGACAGGGACCACAGCCTCTTTGGCAGGGTTCTGCTTCGAAGTAAGTTTCCTGCCTTCAGGCAGCTCTTTGGGCTCTTTCTTCACACACTCCTCCCTTTATTTGGTCTTTAAAGTCCCTGCTCATTTTTTCTTGCATTTTATTCAGCCAGAAGCTTGTTATGTTGGGGGAATTGTCCTTGTTTTACAGATGAGGACTTAAGAAATCAAGGTACTTGTCTAAAGTTTTGTGGGAGGCCAGTCATAGATTAGAATGTAAACCCCCGGCTGATGTTTTTTACTTTTTGCTCTGTCTATACATGTCATGTTATAGCCCTTCCTGTCCCTCCAGGTTCAGATTTTTTCTCTGAGAAAGAAAGCAGCAGCCACAGGGCTTTAAAAAAATTGTTTTCTCTTCTGCAACTTGAACTTTTCAGAAGGATTTGAACAGAAGATGAGGATGGAATGCCTAAATCTTTAATTGGCCATAGATGGCCATTATTACAATAACACATAAATGATATTAAGAAGCAGAGAAAAATTTCTCCTCACCACCTTTGATCTCCCTTTTAGCTATTCAGCTTTGGATCACACTGTCTAAATTAAACTTTTGTTTTTTTTCAATACACTATAAATTCTATAAGGCAGGGCTAGCCGGCCTTTCCTGCACCTCACTTGGTGCTTTGTGTGTTGCAGGCACCATTCATTCATTGGATGGTTGAGTGAATGAATGGATGAACTTGTAGTGAACACCTATTATTTTCCAGGTACATTTTAAGCAGAAGGGTATTTTTGGAGGGTAGAAGTGCGAACCATGAATACGTAGTTGTTTTTTTTTATTTATTTGTTTTTTAACTTAGAAGGAGCACTAAACTTCATGTAAGTACATAGTAAACTTTTTTAAAGTCCTGAGAGTGCAAAAAAGCTCACTAGCTGGTATACAGAGAAAATTAACTAAAAATCACATTTTAGTTAAAAAAAAAATGTTCCTTATTCTGGTATTATAAACACTTTTCAAGAAATAGCACAACCCATTTCCTACTGGGAAATCTGACTGAAAACACAAAAATTTTGTGTGAACCCCAGAAACAGGAAACTTTATACTTGTTTTTGCCCACCCCACCCCCCATTCCTAAGAAAATCATCCAGGCTGTGCACTTGGTAATGCTTAACAGAGGGTGTTTCTATCTTGTAATCATCACAGCCCTAGGGTTTTATGAGGCCAAATGCATAACTGAATGTCTCTGAAATCCCCCAAGGGCGTAGTGCGCTCACTCTGTGTGTCCCTGAAGTAAATTTACTGCCATATTCTGCAATTTTATTCTCTAGTTTAAGACCTATATTCTCCACATTCCTTTTGGAGTTTTGATATGACATTGCAAATTTTTGAAAGGTTGATAGTAAATTACAGCAATATGGAATTTTCAGACTTCACCTAGATTAGCTCACCAGTGAATCAATTAAAGTGCCAGAACTTGTCAAAGAGTTTGCAAATAGTTAGCACAAAACACCTTTCGACACATTATACACAGGCTCTGTTTAAGATGTATCAGGATTTTATTATTATTATTATTATTATTATTATTATATTTCCTTTATTGATTTTAGAGAGAGAAAGTGAGAGGGAGAGAGAGATAGAAACATAGATGAAGGAGAACACCGATCGGCTGCCTCCTGCATGCTCGCCACTGGGGATCAGGCCCACAACCTGGACTTGTGTCCTGACTGAGAATCAAACCGGTGACCTCTTGCTGCATGGGGCAAAGCTCAACCACTGAGCCATGCCAGCCAGACTGTATCAAGGTTTTTCATTTTCAAATTGCTCACAACGATTTTCCAATGATTACAAATTAAATGTCCTTCTCACTTATAAAATGATCACCTCTACATTCTGTCTATGAAAATCTATTAAGATGTCTCTATACTGAAGAAAACCTTTAGATCACAAATCAAAGGACGTAATTTTGACCACTGATCTTCAACATCTGCCAAAGCTGGGGATTCATTCATAAATACTTTAACTTAATCTTGACAGTGTTTCTTTAAAGCTGTAGAGTGCTAAGAAGAAAGAGGTTAGAACTAGTTTGACTTAGTCTAAGGCCTCAGGTAAATAAGAGATTCTAGCTTGTACTTCCTTCACTTCTTTCAAATGAAGTTTGAATGCTTTGCCAAAGTACTCAAAACTTAAAACACTCAAGATACACAATTTCTTTCCATTCTTCACAAAAGGCCAGATTTCTTCCTGGACGTTTATGTAAACTCCTGTGACTGTCAGTGATGATTTTGCATTGATTCTGGGAGGGCTGAATTTGGCCTAAGGTAGCTTATCCTGGAAATAATCATGAAATTCCAGTAAAACTATCCAAAGATTTTTATAATTATTTGCTCGGAGGGAAATTCACATCTAAAATTGTGAAGAACTTCCTCTGGAAACCTAAATGTCCTTATAAATGACTAGGAAGGCAAAGGGCAATACTGTTTATAGGGAGAATATAAAAGTTACTAATATATCCCAGGGTCATAGAGAAATGGAGAATATTTGTGTCCATTGCTTCAGAAGGCTTAGAGTAAGACAATGATTTTTAGGAACATTTGCATTTCAATCATTCAACAGACTATCACTAGTCACAGGCTGAGAAACTTAAACCCATAAATATTCCTGCAAGAATATACCTCTAGAATTCTCAAATAAACCTTGGCAAAAAGGTGATTAGGTCTCTTCCTTGGAAATGTAAAAAAAAAAAAAAAAAAAAACTTCAATAGTAACACATCAGAAGTCTAAATATCACTATTTAGATTTGGATTTTGTTTCATATTTGATGGCTTTAAAAATAATCCATTTTTCTAAGAAGAGTCCCAAGGTCAAAATTTGTTTTGTTAGAAAGCCAACTCTTGAAATGTGCTACTATTTCACACATAACATTTTAGTGATTCATGTAAGACACTTAACTGAAAACATCTTAAGGCCACATCTAACATGATACCAAAACATCTGGACGTAAAATGAAAAGTCAGTCCATGTGCTAAATTGTTTATTTAAATAAGTAAACATTTAGCAATGTGTTTGACTAATTAGTGACAAATATTTTCAAAGGTATTTTTGCCTTGGAAATTATTTCTGTAACGTAGCAAATTTTAAGTGATTTGTTGTTGTTGTTGTTATTTTAGCCAACAGGTCAATGTAATTGTTTGCAAGTTAAGCCAGGATGAGTGCTTTGCCTAGACAATTTATTTCTCTACTACTTTCAAAATACTGTCCGGCCACTGGCATTCATATTTTTCCCCTAAAAGACCACCTCATAAAATTTCTCTTCTTTCTCATTAAAAAATAATAGTGCTAAGTACATTAAGCATTTGGGAATTTTCCCTCTATGTGATATCTCTAAATATGGTCACTGAACTCCAATCCAGGCTTTAGCAGCTCAGTGGGATAACTATTGACAAGATATTTTACTAAACTGTAAAATGGGTATAATAAAAATCTCATTTATCTGAGAGCCACCACCTGAGATTAAAACACATTAGCATCTGTTAGTCAGCATCTTTTAAAAAATATCTCAATTCCACTTAGAAAATCTGTGACTATAATTTGGGCTCTAAAACAGCTCCATGACCATCACATTTCTCTCTGGAGAGCACTACCTGCTACCTATAGCAAATATTCATATAATTGATTTTACCTAACTATAGAGCATGACTGATTTCTTTTTATGATGGTTAGAGGTTTGGGGGAGATATTTTTGGAAGGCTGAGGTAAGTGCCATTTAATATGGTGTAGATATGTTTTCCTGATTTTTAATAATGAGACTAGCAGAGCAAATATTGCAAGGGGTATATAATAAATTTCAGCACTGAGTGACAAATGGGACCAAGCAGGGCTCCGATGCAGAAAGGTGGTTTATTCTCCCAGCTGTGTGGTTCAAAAAGTCACACTCGTCTTGACATGCTGAATCACCAAATGGCTCTGTTTTCTGCCTTGCATTGGCATGAGGTTGTTCAGCTTGTATTTTGATTGTTAATATATTTGCTGCAGCAACCATTAATATAAAGGCATGCTAATAACAATGAAATACAGCTTCACTTGAAAAATGAGGTGTACACAGACCCTAAAGAGCCTTATATCTGTCACTGTACCACAACACTGTGTTATGAGTTACTACAGATTATTAAAATAATTTAATGTAGTTATTGCACTGAAATATGTACCTTTCAGCCTGTAAGTGAAAGTAGCCTGTGTGCTAATAAAGAATAATTCTAAGTAACACCCCAAAGGGTTTTTGCCCAAGTCTAATTATAGGCGATAAATTTGTTTCCTTCCAGAAAAAAACAAACAAAATAAAAGCTTTTCAGTGTCATTTACCCAATAGCAGTGATTAGTGCAGGTGTTCCAGAAGAAAGTAAATTCACCTTAATAGTTAGACATAGTATATAAGTAACTCTAGGATATTGCATATTGCCTTCAACAATCTCCCAATTACTTGTGAAAATTTATGCCAAGCCAGAGCTCTGTAGTGTTAGCATAGGAGGCTAGTTACTACCTTGAATTCTCTTCCCATCTCAGACCCTAGATATTTTTTAATCCAGTATTTCAGTCTCAATCATTTAAATGCATATGAGTGTCCTCAGTAATACCTGGGAACTTGGGCGGGTTTTTTTTTTCAAGGTTTTATTCATGTAGTATAATGCATACCAAAATATATTATGGAATGATAGAATTGTAGAATTCAAACTGTATGTTACAGATGAAAAAACAAAAATGTTACGTTCCTCTCTTCTAGAACATGAAGGATTCTAGATTAAACAAGCAGGTGTATGAGACTAGTGTGAAGTCAGGAGCTGGGCAGAGTAGACTTTTGCTGCATTTTCCTTTTTACTCTGTTTACATTAAGGATAGCTGTCTAATTTATATTAGATGCCATGATTCATATTAAAGAAAGAGCCTTGGCCCTGCCCAGTTTAGCTCAGCGGTTATAGTGTTGGCCGCAGATCAAAGGGTCTCAGGTTCAATTTTCAGTCAAGGGTACGTACCTAAGTTGTAGGTTCATCCCAGCCCTGGTGTGGGTTGTGTGGGAGGCCAACTGATGTGTCTCTCTCACATTAATGTTTTTCTCTCTCTCTCTCCCCCTCCCTCCCTTCCACTCTATCTAAAATATCAATGGAAAAATATCTTTCAGTGAGGATTAACAAAGGAAGGAAGGAAGGGAGAGAAGAAGGGAGGAAGGAAGGAAGAAGAGAGAGAGAGAGAGAGAGAGAGAGAGAGAGAGAGAGAGAGAAAGAAGTGAGGAAAGAAAGAGCCTTGGCTCTAGAAAAGAATCCTTCAAGAATACCAGTACTTTCTTGTCTAGTTTTGAAGTATGTCAGAGGCAGAGCAAGTATTAACCAGCCATCATCTGATAGTTATTTAGAACTAGCAACTCCAGACCACTTTTAAGAAAAATATTTTTGTTTCAGGTAGTCGGGAATCTGCCTTTGTTTACGCCATCTCCTCAGCTGGAGTTGTATTTGCCATCACCAGGGCCTGTAGCCAAGGAGAATTAAAATCCTGCTCCTGTGATCCAAAGAAGAAGGGAAGCGCCAAAGACAGCAAGGGAACCTTCGACTGGGGTGGCTGCAGTGATAACATTGACTATGGGATCAAATTTGCCCGAGCATTTGTGGATGCCAAGGAAAGGAAAGGAAAGGATGCCAGAGCCCTGATGAATCTGCACAACAACAGAGCCGGCAGGAAGGTATGGACTGCAACACTGCTCCTTTTGTAGACTGCTTAGCCTTATAGTCACTTAAGCTGAGTTTATCTAAAACTTTCCTAGAGTTGATAAAATGCCATATAGTCACAAATTCCCATTGTCTCCCAGCCCCAAGCCGTTTGTTCTAAAGAATACCATGGACTGGATTGAAATACCCCACCCCTGCTCCACCTTTCTTCCCACAGCTGGGCTGAAGGAGTCCACCCATTGCTTCTGGCATTGTGTGGAGTCAAGTGTTTTATGGTCCTTGTGGATGCTGTATCATCTAGACAGAAGATATAATCTGTGGGTGAGGCTAGCTAGTGCTTCATTCCACATACCAATGGGACATTGAATGTTTGTATCTGAAGGATATCAAAACCCAGGACATCTTCTCTCAAATATATCATTGAAAGCAACCCACTGGGCATGGCTTACTGGCTTCTTCTAGAGTCAGGGGTGCCCTTTTTAGAAACAAACAGGCTTTCTTTGGGGTGTCTGGTACTAGATGAGTAAGTAGACCAGGGGAAGACATAGCTCCAAAGGGGTATTCTATCCCTTATCCTCTAGTCCTTACTAACCTCCCGGGCTGTGAATTCACCGGTCAGTATTCACTCATTACCCCCCATTTATTAGATGAGGAAATAGGTCCTCAAGTGCTCAAGGTCACATGGAGAATCAGTAGAAATGTCAGAACTAGAACTCAGGTTTCAACTCCTAGCCCAAAGGTTTTGTGGTCTAGGATGAAACCATTAAAATGACAGTGTTCAGATCCATTGATAAGTCATGTCTTTCTTCATGGTGGCACAACCAGAATAACTAGAGAAACTGAATGCTGCACATTATGCCTTTGGTGGAAAGCATAAACTGGCTGGGCTAATGAAATATTTAGTCAGATCAATCAAGCATACAATATGGAAAGTGTGGGAAGTGCACTAATCTTGTATATAGCTCAAACATTTACTTTCATGTATATAATACTTATTTTCACATAGATACACACACACACACACGTGTGTGTGTGATTAGATAAGATACATATTCTGAGCATTCTAGGAAGTACCCTTTGCCTCTTCCCAGTTATCAACCACAATTTACTTTTCCATTGTCCTATTTCCATTTTTTGCCATTGTGAATAAAGCTAGTATTCTTTTTGCATGAAAAAGAAAGAAAGAAAGAAAGAAAGAAAGAAAGAAAGAAAGAAAGAAAGAAAGAAAGAAAGAAGAACCAACTGAGAATAATTTAATTGCCAGTGAGAAGAGATAACCATAATTTGTCTTTTTTCAATACAAAATTAAAATATGCTTGATATTAATATATAAAGAAAGATCAGCATAAAATTGAAAGGTCTGGGGGGCAGTCTTTAATATGAAAAAGAATAGAAAAAATGCAGATCTATTTGGATGAAAATTCTTTTACTAAGCTCACAGAGAGACCAAATTTAATTTAACAGAAGTTGAAAGGAAAGAACTCTTGCTTAGTACATGGAATGAGATGAGTGTGACCTGAACTGTTTACAAATAGTACCTTTCTTGAACTTTAAAAGTCAACATTCTTAATTTTATGAATTTATAGTGACTACTGCCAAAAATATAGACTGTGGTTATGCAACCCTTCAACTATTGGAAATTACTGTTTGTGCAATAGTTTGGATAGAGGAAAATTTACATTGACCTTTGTTTTGACATTGATACCGCATGTACAAGTTATAAAGTGTGGTGTCTTTGATAGGAGTGTGCTGCTTAGTTACTCAAGCAGGAAATATAGTTAGATCTCTCAGATGATTTGTAAAGATAAAGGCATATGGTCATACACTGTATCCAAAATAATGTTGACTCGTCAAAATAAATGTTAATTTTGCTTAGTAGATCATTAGATATTGACTGCTTCAACTCTTCAAGACAACAGATCTTAGCTATTCTCTTGTAGGCGCTGAATAAACATGACTTGTAATGTAAATCACATGATTCCTCACTGTGTAGAGGTGAACAGCTGTCAGGCCTCAGATATTCTCCTGCCTACTCTGCAAAACTGAGGAGGCTACTTTTGATTGGAATAAAAGTGCACACGCTGACTTTTTAAAATGTGGCTTTAATTAATGGTGGGTGGGCAGACTTTTTCAAGGAGATGCATGATGTCAGTGAATATGAACTTTAATGAGAGTAAATGCATGGAGATAAACATGCGTCTCTAATTCTCTTCTTGCAGTCATTAGACCTCCCTTCCCTACTTCCCCTTTGTACAAGCAGAAGGTCTGTGGAATCAAAATGAGAACAGGCTGGGCTTGTGTTTGAAGGCAGGCCTCCTGAGCTAAGTGTCCAACTGGCCTGCCTCTAGAAAACCCCAACTACCCAGGGCTACCACAGCATCAGTTCATTTTTTTTTCTTCTTTGTGCTTTTCAGCATTTCCCTAATTGTCTAGTATGAGTATCTTTTAATTTTTAAATGGTGTATGTGGGGGTGGGGAGGGGGGAGACCAATACATTTCATTTAAAAGAAAAATCGTCTATTCCAAGACTATTCTGTTTAACCAATGCTATAAATCAGAGTTCAACACTGCTATTCACAAAAGACTTTAATTTTTCCCTAATATTTGAGTAGTTTAATTCATTTACTATAACAGCTGGTTAGAGCACCCTCGTGTGTCTCTGTATGGTACTACCACTTTAGATCTTCAGTGCTGTTATATAATTTTATTTCAATCATAGCTTCAGCAGAATTTATGATGATGTTTCTTTCCTTCATATTTACTTGAAACTCATCCTTGACTGAGTCTTGTTTTCTACCACCAGAGAGTCCTAAAAAGATAAATTTGCCCTGTTCAACACAAACATTCTGTCAAGAAAGACATTCCACAGCTTCTCTCAGCAGTTCTATTTAGGTCTAAAGAAGCCATGCTATGAAAACTTCTAAATTATATTTTAGGATAGGGTTAGGTTAATTACAAGGAAAAGTTACTCAGTCAATAGCCACCATTTGTTCTTTTCAGAAGTTGAAAATGGCTTTTAAATTAGTCCACAACTACTTTTACCTTTCCTAAGAGAATATATATCAAAATAATCCATGTATCCAACTAAATCCTTCAATCACTGGACATTTCCATAATAAGAATAAGAAGAATTCCATTAAAATACTTTCCCTGAAAGGTGTCATACTATAATAAAGATAGAACATGGGATTTGAAATGAGATCCACATTAGTCTTAATAGTGCAATATCGATGGCTTTGCTCACTGAATTTCAGGTCCTGTCATGTGTAAAAGTGCATTATATGGTGCTGTGGGAAGCCAAGCGAAAGGCAGATAGCAGAGAACCTGGCAGGTAGTAGGTATACAGTAAAAGTTAGTTCCTTTCTCCCTTTAGTGAACTGACGGTTATCTGTAATTTAGGCAATAGAGATAGGCACAATTCAACTTGAACTATTCAGTCTGATTGCTACAGGTATCCATAGACTTATCTTTGGTACAGTTTAACATACTAATAAAAACCAGGCATAGAGGCTCTAGCTGGGTAGTTTAGTTGATTAGAGCGTTGTCCCGATACACCAAGGTTGGGGTTCGATCCCAGCATGACAGGAGACATATAAGAATCAACCAATGAATGCATAAATAAGTGAAACAAAAGATCAATATTTCTCTCTGTCTGCCCCCTCCCTCTCTTTCTAAAATCAATTAATAAATAAATAAGCAAATAAATAAATAAATAAATAAACCAGGCATATAGTATTTGCTAATGTGCAAAATACTGCCAAATGTTTTATAATTTGATCTTTCAAAAACCCATATAGGGCCCTGGCCAGTTTGGCTCAAAAGTAGAGCACCGGCCCACAGACCTATAAGTCACGGGTTCTATTCCAACCAAGGGCACATACCTCAGTTGCGGTTTGTCCCCGGCCCTGGTTAGGGTCGTGCAGGAGGCAACCAGTCGATGTGTCCCTCTCATATGGATGTTTCTCTCTCCCTTTCTCTCCCTCCCACTCCATCTGAAGATAAAGAGAAAAATATCCTCGGGTGAGGATTAAAAAAAATATATATATATAATATATATATGGGAATTAAAAAACAGTATTGGTGTTCCTATTTTTCAAATGAGAAACTGGGTCTCAGAAGGATGAAATGACTAACCCAGGGTCACACAGTCATGAAGTGCTGGGCTTGGGACGGGGAGCATTCAAATTCAGCTTTGTTCACCTTTGTGTCCTTATGTACTTTTTTATGTTGTCTCTGTTGAGAATTTCTGAGACACACACAGACACAGTATTTCTACATTTTTAAAAAATATGTTTTTATTGATGTTTTTTAGAGGGAGAGGAAGAGAGAGAGACAGACAGAGAAACATTCATTGGCTGCCTCCTGCATGCCCCCTACTGGGGATGAAGCTCACAACCCAACCCTGCATGTACCCTGACCAGGAATCAAACCAGGGACGTCTAGGTCTATGGAATGATGCTCAGCCCACTGAGCCACACAGGCCAGGGCAAGTATTTCTATATTTTAAACAAAGGAACAGCAGCGGCCATCACCTTTAGAAGGTAGTCCACTAATTTTTTTCCCTTTGTGTGTGTCTTTTTATTACACATTTTCTAAAATAAATATGTATCGTTTTTTTTAAAACAACTGAAAAAATATTTGAAATGTCAAAAACATAACTGCTAATCGTTATGAACAGCTCAATGCATCTTAGCCTTTTTCTGTGGATTCACAACATTTCAACTGAATAACACTGTAAGTTGGAGAACACCATTCCTATGTGCTATTGGACTAAATTTATTTCAACAGATAATTTATTATTGAATTATTTTGGGAAAAGCTGTTTTGGGTACTAAGTTAGGTGTAGAAAAGAATAAGACAAAGAGGCCCTGACCACAAGAAACTAAATTTTAGTCAGGGAGACAAGTGAAATACAACTGTGAGGCAACCTCTATGCTAAGTGGTAGAATAGGAAAATCAGCCAAAGGGCCAGTTAGCTGAGGAGAAAAAGGTTGCATCATAAAATAACTGGGTG